AACCATTATACCCTGATTTCCCATTTTCAATGGGTTCAGGGTATAAAAATATTCATAGTGGGTAGCTTTACTACGCTAATTGTGAGTTGAGAGTGGAATTTTAAATATATTTATGCATTGATATTCATATATCAATTTGTTTCCATAGTCAGTTCTTGTTGTTTGCATAAACCAAATTGAGTTTAATAAATTATTCAATGAATGCAAAACTAAAATGAATTGTTAAAATTTTCTTTCAAGAGATTTGTAATGAATTTGATTTTCAATGTTTTATTAATGTTGTTTATATTGTCGATATTTTATTTGTTGATTTTCAACACCAATTTGATTTTTTTGTAGATCGATTTTCTTTCGTTCTCATGAATATTGATCCAGATTAAAACATCCCCAGGATCTATTTGAAAAGCTACTGTTTATGGTTATGGTATTGGTTATGGTTATTCAAAGAGTCTAATTTACCTTTCGTTATATTGAGTACATAACATATCTGTATATATTTATATAAATAGATATATATTTATGCATTGTGATTATGTGAATTCCGTTTTTTAGACATCTAAACATGTAAGATTGGTTTATATATTTAAAGCGCTTCGAGTTAGTTTTATGTATCGGTCTCATCTGTCGTATGCACAGATGAGATAAGATAATAATGGATTTAATTTGACTAGTAGTATCTTTAGTGGAATTATATTGATTTAGCTAGTAAATATCGTATGTATTCTTTATGGGCTGATAGTAGAGATTATTAGAAAAGGTGGTCCATTTAGTCATCGTATCGTAATTGAGTTTCAATTGAATTATGCTAAAAATGCGTGTGAGATAAATAAAACAACAAAATGAAATCAAAATGCAACTGAAATTGATCAATAATGACTTATTTAATTAAAAACATTGCAGCACACTTTCAGTTAGCACGTACATTATAATACAAAATACACATTAATGGAATATAATAAATTACAAAGTAAACTCAAATAAAAGTATCTTTGATTCAGAGTGAACAGATCAAAAAAAAACCAAACCTCCTATCGCAATGGGGTAACTCATCTCAACTATTGTTCTGCGTTGTTTTGAAAAAAAAGTGCTTCAGTAACAGATTCGCAAGTGCTCGCAATTGATTATGATATTTATCTTTATATAAGACTCTTAACTACACTTTATATTTCTGCAATATTTTCAGCTTTTAATATGTATCGTTCACTTAGTATTGATATATTTTCGTAACTAATAAAAAACCTTGAGCTCTCTGCTTTCGGCTCCAGCTTCAGCTTCTTTCGTTCCCTTTATATTCATATATATATTTTTATTTATATGCATAAGTTGCATGTTGTAATTATTTATAGTGATTTATATATAGATATATGTAAATATACCGATATATATATATAGATATATGTATACTGTTTAGAATTTGCTTGCACGCTAGCCATTACAGTGAAGTATGCTTAAGTTGGTTTCTGATTATGATTTGCTTGCATCCGTAAGTACCGAAAGTTATTTCCTCAAGTCCACGCAGGTTTTCTCCGTATTCGTGGTCGTCGTCGTCGTTGTATTTGTAGCCGTGCTGCTGCTCGTCTCCTCCAAGTCCTCGTTGTTGGGCTCGATTTCCTGTTCGGTGATGACAGTGACCAAATTCTCTGCTGCTTCTGTTTCCGAATAGACATAAGCATACTTTGAGTATTCGTTGACTTATGTAGGACTATATATGGCAATATATATATTTGAGGAGTGAACAACATAAATGTTTGAATTACCGCTTTGACATACATTCCAAACGCTCTAGCCAAGATCTAGAATCGTATATTGTAGGCAATGGCATAGGGAATTAAGCAAGAGAAAGTTCAGATTAGTTATTGAGAATAAATTCACTCAGGTCGTGAAACACAAACGAAATGCACAAACAACAACATCGAAAAGCAAATCAAGCAACGAAATAAGAATCCATTAAAACTTTTCGCTTTAAGAGAAAATATCAACTGAAGCAAACGAAAGAAAAAACTACAAAACTCAAGGAAAAGCACAAAAAAAAAAAGAGTATCAAAAATCATTCCGACAAATTCCGCACCATTCATATGCTGCTGCAGCAAGCTGGAGTGCGGCGGAGGCGGGGGACGTCCGTCGTCCCCTAAGTAGCCGGACATCTGCATTCCACTGCCGGACATGTCGATGCCCCCGTTGCCGGTGAGGACGCCTCTCTGAGAAGAAAGCTGCTGCTGCTGTTGCTGCTGTTGATGCAGTGCGTTCAGAGCGCCGCTCAGTTGGTGCTGGTGATGCTTGGCGGCCAGATTGGCCAGCTGCTGCTGCTGCAGCTCGCTGCTGAGACCCGGCAGCATAATGCCCTCTATATACATGTATGTGTGTGTGTGTGTGCGTGTGTTAAAGGAAACAGTCAGAAATATGCCATGCACATACAGGGTGACCAAGCAAAGGCGACTCATAGAATAATTCAACAGCTGAAGGTTATCAATAGCTACTGAAATACGGTCACTCTTGTTTGGCCAGCCCTTGGTCAATATTCAATTAGATGCAGAGGAATCGAAACTTTAGCTGAAGTTAAAGGGAACACCCGTAACTCTATACTAGATCTATACCTAGACCTGTGCCTATGCCTACTCACTTGAAGTGTGGTCGTAGTGGCCGTTCTGCTGATTCATCTTGGCCGGGGAGTCGGTGTTCAGCTGGGAGGCGGTGACCGAGCGCGTCTGCAGCGTGTTTGGCTTGGAATTGAGTGCTGAGCCGGGCGCACTGGGCAGGCCGCTGCTGGTGGCGCTGCTGCCGCCGCCGTTGGGCTCGTCGAGCAGCTGCCGGAGTCGTTGCAGCTGCGCCTCCAGCTGCCGATTGTGGTCCTCGAGTATCTGCATACGCGCCTCCAGGCGGCCCTTGTGCTGCCGCAACAGCTTTGCCTCGGCCATCATGTCCTGGTGCATAGAGAGAGAGAGAGAGAGTTTCATTTCGGCCCACTTCTGCTATGCCTAATCCCCATCTTACCTGGCCATGCTCGCCCTGGCTGGACAGACCCGTCATGCTGGAGCTGCTGGAGTGGTGCATGCCGTTGGACTCATCGGGCGTGCCGCTCTGCTGCTTGGTGCACAGCTGCTGGTACTCGGCCTGCAGATTGGCGTTCTCCTCCTCGAGGTCGCGGATGATCGCCTCCAGCTCCTCGCGCTGCTCCGCATCCATTGCGGCCATCACCTGGACCGGCGACTTGGGCGCGCTGCCATTGGTCGCGGGCAGCGCCTGGCAGTACTGTGCGATCAGCTGGTGCTCGTCGTCGCTGTCGGGCGTCGAGTTGGAGCCAGTTCCGCCGTACTCCACCTGGGCCAGCCGCGACGCGTACATCTCGAGGCGCGAGTGCATGTCGTTCTGCAGCTGGTGCGAGGTGTGCTGCGGACTGGGCGCCGGGCTCTCGAGTGCATCACCTATGGTACACAAATTGGAATTAGTCGAGGTAGGAGGCAGGCGAGGTGCTTCCTCTGCTTACCCTCTAGGACGCTCTGCACGGGCAGGTAGCCGACGCGTGGATGCTTCTTAAAGTATTTGCGACTCTTGAATTTGTTTTTAAGGGCGCGCGTAAAGTCGCGCACGTCCTCGGTGGATGTGGTCTAAGGAATGAGAAGGAAACGTTTAGTTTTTCGCTTTGGGCGCCTTCATTGCGCATACGCACCGTTGTGCAGTACTCGTGCATGGGATGGGTGAGCTTGTGGTTCTTGGCATTCCGCCCGAAGAAGAAACACTTTTGGCACATGTCAAAGTTGAAGCACTTGAGGCAGCGATACCGGAAGCCGACTATCGGATACTCTTTGCATATGTTGCACTTGGCCTGGTGCTTGGCCGCCTCCGCGGCAGCCAGGCGATGCAGCACGGGCAGCCAGACCAGACTCTGCGGCTCGTGCTGCAGCCAGCCGAGGAAATGCTGCAGCTCGATCGATATCTCCTGATTGCCATCGATGGCTTCCTGCGATATGCCCGCCTGCTCCAGGCACGAGCGCACCGAGGGCTCGATGTTAGAGCCCCCAAAGGCGGCCACCTCGCCCAGTTGACGCGGAACCTAGGTGGAGTGAGCAGAGCAATTATTTCATTTTCCAATCTTTCTGTCTCCCTCTTCTCCCTACACTCACCTGTATGCAATCGTGCAGCAGGAGTCCCAGGCGCCGCTGGTCCGCTCGCCGTTCGGTGTCAGCGACCAAGCGGAACAGGTATCGGTACTTCTCCTCGAGGTGGCCCTTGCAGAGCAGCACGAGGCCCACCTTAAAGCTGAGCACCCGAATTTGGCCGGTGCGCTGCGAGTCGTACACGTTCAGTATCCAGTTGATGGCCAGGTCGAGCATTAGCGTCAAATCAATTTTATCGATTGTCACGTAGAGCGAATGCAGCACCGTCGTCATGTCCGGTATGTCGATAAGCTTGTCGTTCTGGGCGCGCAGTCCGTGCCGGTCAAACGACTCGCACGCGGTGGCCATCGAGATGCGATCAAGCGCTGAGATTGCAGATTAATAGAGATTTTATATAAATCTTTGTATAATTTATATTCATTATAAATTTTTTTTTAGTATGTACTACTCAACCAATTAACTGATTTCTTTATCGAGGTCTTATCGTTGCTATTGACATCGCTTTTACAATTCAATTAGCATCAGCTACATCACATATTTTCTCTCCCTCTCTTTTTCGGTCTCCCTTTTGTCTTCCTCTTTGACTCTCTCCATCTCATTTCCTGTTTCCCTCTCTCTATCTTATTTTTTCTTTCTCTCTCTAGCTCACTTTCTCTTTCACCCTTCATCCATCTCTCTCTCAGTCTCGCTCTCTCTCTCTCTCTCCATCCATCAATCTATCTCTATCTCTCTCTCCATCTATCTCTCTCTCTATCTATATCTTTCTCTTACTCTCTCTCTCTCCTTCTCACTCTCCATTAATCTCTCTTTCTCACTCTCACTTTCCCTTTAAGAGCCTCAGAAGTTAGCTAAGTTCTCTGTTTTGGGCCACCTACCTAATCGCTTTTGGACAGCCCGTAGTTTCATGGCTGTGCGATAGGCTGAGAAGCGAATTTCGTTGAGGTCCGCCAGTCCCTTCATCAGTTCGATCATCTCGGGGTGGTCCCAGTGCGTGGTCTCGCGTTCATGGCTGTGGGCGAGTGAACGAGTTCAGTTTAGTTTCGGGCGGCAGGCGAAGGAAGGAAGGTGGCAACACTTACTCGATGTAGTAAGGCACGTTGGCGGCAGTCGTGGCACGCTCCCAGGGCGGCTTAACACTCTGGCCCAAATTGGGCAGTGGACCAATGGTGCCGCTGTTTGATGTATTGCGTCCATCGTCCCCGTTCTCGTGCGCATTGTTGGCTCCGGCCTGGCACAGCACCTTCTGACGTTCGTCCATCGCAATTTGCAGCAGTTTCATGCTGTAACCAGAAAATCGAGTCAGCGATAGCTCTCTCTCTCTCTCTTTCTCTCTCTCTCTCTCTCTCTCTCTCTCATTCTCTGCGGCTGACCAGAGAATCAGCGCGCACTTACCGTGTATTCAAGTCCTCCAGCTTGGACAGGCACGGCGTCGGCACCAGCACCTGATTGGCGGTGAAGAACGATTGCTGCTCGTTGCAGTCGTCCAGCAGAGCGCTGGCCGTGGTCATCTTGTCCCGCAGCCGCTGCAGCTGCTGCATCTGATCATTAGCCTCGCCCACGGACGACGGCGTCTGCCAGGCGAGCTGTGTTTGCTCGGCCAAGGCGACGCGAGAGGTCAAGTCCTCCAGGACCTTTTGGAATTGGCGCATTTTCTGCAAGAGACAAGTTGAGAAATAACCCAATTAGCAAGCGAAATAAATGGACATACAAAATGGCCATGAAAGCAGCTATAAATAGATCAATTATGTGGGAAGAAATTATGATTTATGAGTGGGATTGTAGCCTTAAAGCTGGAGCGGAAATTCCTCATAATTAATATACGCGAGCAAAATTAAGAGAAATCGGAAACATAGAGAAACATTGTTTGAATCAAATATTATGCATATTCAAACCAAGTTTATGTTTCTCTCTAACTTTTCTTAAGCTAAGCTCTCATCCTTCCCTATTTGTAGCCAATCAGCTCAACTAAGTATCCCTTTTTATGTTAACTTAAGAGTCAAAAACATGTGCTCAAATTTTCAGCTGTCTGATGCCTCACGTTGAGCTGAGACTTTTCATTTTTGCAGCTGTTTCTGCAGCCATTATTCGATTCGCGATTATATGGCATATCTAATTCAATTTGAGCAATCGATAGCTCAAGCAGCTGCTTCTCTGATCTGCAAATAATTTACTTGAATGTCTTCAGACTCAGAGACTCCTTCAATATGCAACTAGCCAATTAGACAATCAACTCTTTGTTTACTAATTAAATCGTAATAATTTTGATCATAATTAACTCTTCAGATTGAGTGCTGCACAAACTGAAAACTATTTACATAAATATGTATTTCTGTATGCGGCTTTGTCGGACATTTATTGATTGCTGTTCTTATTGTAAATTAGTTTTGGAGTGATCAGTGCTTCGGCAGAGAGCTCTTCCCAGCCATTGTCTCAATTTGTTTGCTGGCGCTGTCTCAGCTCGGATAAGCTCTCTCAGTATGGCTGGCGCATTACGCATACGCCGCATTGTACACATTGTTGGGGCCAATAATGCCGGCAAGTGACGTGGCGCGACTCCAATGAAGCGAGCCATCATTTTAACTTGGGCATAAGTTAATCAGAGTCTTTATTTACGCTGCTTTTATGCCAGCAGCTCTGCCGCTGCCGACGCTGCTCCAAGCAGGCTCTTCATTAGCAGTAAAAGGCAAAGAGCAGAGACTGCAGGAAGCAAGGATGCTTGCAGCAGGTGTCGCCTTTACCGGCAAGCGAGTGACAACGTTTTATTTCGCACATTTTCATCATGCTCCCTGCCAAAGCAGACCATTTAGCGGTGGGGGGCTGCTGGAGTTTGCAGCAAAAACTTTCATTGCCGTCATTCTGCATGCAAAATGCATGCAACAAGCAAAATGCATTTACGCCCAACTCGCAACTTTGCCACAGCCAGCTGAATGGCATGCTGCATGTAGCGTGCAGCATGCAGAATGCCACGCAATTTACTCTATTATTTAATTTAGTTATAGTTTATAGTTCTAGCTGCTCGCTCGCCAACTCTTTTTTCTCTCACTGTAATTCGATTTGCAGAAAGTTTGTGTTTATGATTTTAAACTTTGCCGCTTCTGCTGGCGCCCCGAGGCAACTTTCTGCTCTATAATGCATGCAGCGGCAACTTTGCATGTGTTGAACTGTCTCGACGCTCGCGTCTCCTGCCGCCAGCCAGGTGCACATGAGCGACAGTTGAGCGTGGCCATTTGAACTTTTGACAGGCATTTTAGCAAGATCTAATATGATGTTATTTACGTGCTTTGTTTGCCCCGAACACAATTTGCATATATTCAAAGTTTGCAAATTAATGTTTTAATAGGAATTCTAAAGGGTTAGAGTCTATGCTGATAATTGTGTTTCCTTTAGAATCGAAGAGCTTGTAACTTTATTTAATCAAGAGTGGACTTCCTTACGCATATTGTTATTGTTGCTTTGCCTTGGGGCTGCTCAATTATGAATATTTTGCTCTGTTGCAACATGGCTGCATTTTTCAATTGCTTCTTTTGTGCTCTGAAGTTTTGTGGTTCGGCTAATTAAGTGTAAACATGTTCTGGAGCTGCAATTAATTGCGCATTTGCTGCCACAAAGAAGCGCAGCCACCGCAGCGGGAAGCGGACGCTTTGCATTTCTGTTTAATTAGCCAAAAGGGGGCAACAACAACAACAGCAACAGCAGCAGCAACAAAGACAAAGGCAATCAGGGAGACGTCGCTGTCGCTCAACTCTGCGCCGCAAGCTGCTCGCAGCGGCAATCAATAATTTGATGTTTACAATAAATATGCAACATGGCCCGCCCACCTCTCGCCCACCTCTCCCATCTGTCCCACCTGGCGTCGCACTAATTAGTGGCAACAAAGACAGGCAACTGTTTGATATCGTTGCAGCCCGATATGGCGAGGCCGCCCGATTGCAGGGCAATGCACCTGCCTGGAGAAGCCCGCATAACTTTTTTTTTACAGTTTTAATCAATGGCAACAAAGCAAAACCGCCTCAAAGATGCGTGAGAATGGGCCCGGAATCCTTGCAAAGCCAATATGGCGGCCCAGCCGGGGCGTGGCTGCGAGCGCCTTTTGTGCACTCACAAAATACATTCAGCCGGCTTCAAATTATGCTTGAGCAGCGCCCGCCACATCTTGGCCGTGGCCAGTGGGGCCAGCCAAGCCGCAAAAGTTGTCCACATACTTTCTATGGCATCGCAGCCAAATGGACAAGCCAGGCCAGCAGGAATTGAAGAGGAAAAAAGCAGAGAGCTTAAACAGGCAGAGAGCCTAAATGAGAAACAAAAGAAGATGCGTAGATTTACATATTTAAATGTCTAATAAAACTGACAACTTTTATGTCCACCCTCGCAGCAATGCATGTTAATATTCAAGCTAAATATAAATCACAAATTAAATATACAGAAAAATGTTTTGCAATTGGAATATAAATATTCCCTAATGCAATTGCATTCCCAATTAGATTCCAATTAGACTGGGCTAATTTGAAAATGCCTTTTCGGGTTTTGCGAATGTAAATAGTTGCAATAAACAATGTTTATGCATAAACGGAGTATTAAATTAATATTAATTCCCTCAACTCAGAAATGCAGCTGCAATCTCGTCCAATGCTCAATCGAGTTATGCACTTTGGCTTGGGCAAGAGCAGAGAATGCGCTTAATTAAAAGTATATGGCATACATAATGCTGCTTATTAGTTTATGGCAGAGTCTGCTCATAGAATATGCAGAGTTATCTGCAACATGTTGCTAAGCGGCAATTAGTCAGTACACAAACCTCGTTTTCGTCGCGCAACATGCCAACAATTTGTAGAAACATTCGCTCCGCATCGTTCTGCGGGTCGCAGTTCGAGTAGGTGTCGTCCATGAGTGTGATGTCGCCGATGCGACAGTGGAGCTGCTCCTCCGACGAGGAGGAGTACAGCGACAACATGTTGCGTCGTCGCCGTTCGTCTGCAACATGTTGCAGAGCAACATCAACAGCTAGCGAGCGTGTCGCTGGCGTTGGCTCTGCTGCTGCCTCTGCCTCTGCTGCTGCTGCTGTTGATGTAGTTGTGGTTGTTGTTGCTGCTGCTGCTGCTGATGCTGTTGCTGCCTCGTCATCGGCATCTGCCTCGTCGCAGCCGCTGCTGCTGAGCTGCGAGTAGCTGAGGCTCAATTGACTGCACTCGTCGTGCTCTTCCTCATCGTGATCCAGATCCAAATCAAGTTCCAGCTCATGCTCCAGCTCCGTGCCGCCGGTGCCGCTGTCGCCGCTCTGCGAGCTGGCCTTTGCCTGACCACTGGCTGTCGATGTTGTTGCCGCCGCTGCTGCGTTGGCCACCACCACCGCCAGTTGATTGTAGGCCTGTGATTCGCCGCTGCTGCTGCTGCTGCGACTGCGCCGCTTCATCGAGCGAAACGGCGACAGCAAGCGACGACGCGTGCTGCCCGTGGGCGTGGCGTAGGGCGGCTGCTGCAGCTGCTGCTGCTGAGACGGTGCGCCAGCATAGCGTTCCAATGACCTTGACTTGCTGTGATTGCTGTAGATCGTGGCACCAACATGACTTCCAGCCACCGCTGCCTCCGCTCCCTTGCCACCGTCGCGCGCCGTCTCTCGCTGCTTTCTGCCAGCATCAATGTGCGCGTTCTCTATAATTTCGCCTGCCTCGTCGCTGGAGCTCTGCGACAGTGGCGCTGCCGGCGCAGTTGCAGCAAATAGTCGCATAGTTGTTGTTGTTGTTGTTGCTGTCGATGTTGTTGTTGCCGTTGCTGTTGCTGCTGCTGCTGCTGCTGCTGCTATTGCTTGTGTTAATTAATCTTTCTACTATTATGCAGATTTCAGGTTTTCTTTATTTTTATATTTTCTTCTTCTTCTTTTTGTTTTATTCTTAAGCACTTGGCTGCATCGTTTTAGGGCACATTCTTGCGTAATGAACGCTTCTATTTTTACAGACCGGTTAGACAGGATTGTTGGCGCTTCCTTTAACTATACTGGACAAATATGGCCAGGCATTAGGCAAACAGTTAAGGAAAACAAGAAACTACTACTACTACTACACACACTCGCTCATCGACGGCTCAAATAAGCCACTCAATTACGCCGAAAATCTCTCAGGGCTTCCCGCTCTGTAAACACGGCCTAGCGTTAATTATCCAGACATCTTCGGAATGTTTATTAAACACGTTGTTGTTGCTGTTGTTGTTGTTGCTGTTTGTGGAGTCAACTAAGGTTGTCGGCTGCATTTTGTTTGCACAATTGCTGGGCGTGTGTAAATTATGTTGGGCAATATTTGCCCCTAGATAAGTTCTTCAATGTTTCAGACACCAAGTTGAGATGTTCTACAGCGAACCGTGACATTGTCGCTGTCACAATTTCCGAGACACACAAACACACACACACATACATGTGTGACATGTGTGTTTGCCAGCCAGAGAGACAGAGAAGGTGGGAAAGGTTAGTGGAACGACAGCAAGTACATGGGAAAGTCAATTTAGTCGAGGAGCTATGAATAATGTAAATTGAATCAACTAATTTGAATATCAACGCTGCTCAATAGATATTTGTGGATAACATATTTGATACTACGAGAGGTATTTGCTGTAGCTTGTAATCAGCTCGAGATACATACGCATACAGATAAGGTTTACCCCG